TTGGCAAGCCAGGTGAGCTTGGCAGATTGTCCCAATGGCTTTCAGAGCCTGAGGTGAGCACAGACATTCCTAGATTTGCCCAAAACTAGTTTAGTCATAATCTTATGTGAAATCTCAATATGCAGAGAAAAACACTTTAATTATTAAATACACATACTACCTTTTTCTTAAATTTTTACTATTTAAAAAAATATTTCACAAAATTTAATGAAATCTCATATTGCTATGAGTAAGCTTAAAGTTTTAAGATGTGAGTCAAATTTTGTTTAAAACAAAGGAGGTTAATGTGAATGTCATGATAGATAGACATTTTTTTTTTTTAATTAATTCAATGTTTAGCAACACAAAGCTGAATTGAATGCAGGGCAGTAAGACCAGGGTATAACTAGGCCATGGGTAGTCCAAAATATGGTTCAAGTGGAGCAGTAGTTTGGGCCAAAATTAAAGTTCAAATCTGAAGGTAAGGAGAAAAAGGTCCACACCAGAGTCAGGAAACTGAAGAAGCTGATCAGAAGTCAGACAAGGCACTAGAGTCAGGGGTAAGCAGTAATTAAGGTAGGCACTTGAGACACAGGTAAGTCTTAGTAGAGTCGCTTAAATCTGATGAAAAATTTAGAATACTGGTAGGTTCTCACCAGCAATCTACTCAATCTTTTTCTATATCTGACCTTGAGGTAGGGTAGGGTAGGGTAGAGTTTTATGCAGGGTATGATCTAACCTAGTTACATGCACTTTCCTCATGAAGATTGAAAGGATTATGAAAATAACTGTTACATATCTGGAGTCTGCATGGCTCTGCTCTTATGCCATACCTATGCCTTGCTCCCTGGAGTGGCAATAGGTATTAAAGTCCAAATGAATTAGTCAGTTCACCCTTCTAGGGATCAAAAAAAAAATGTAAGAAAAAAAACCCAAAACAATGCATGCTTAGGCAGCGTGTGCTGCTGAAAAGCAGAGTCAGGATGCTCAGAGCCATGCTGTAGCTGCCAGCCAGGCTCTGCCTGGCAGGATCACCATTGTTGCAGCCCTGTAAGGCCCCCAGGACACTGGGTAAGGCTTCTGGGGCCATCACAGTGCTGACTCTAGCCTCCCCTACTGCCCCTGGGGTAACTTGACATGCCAAAGCATGTGTAGTCTGGGCATTCCCCATGGACAAGTAGCTGTGGTGCAAGGTGCACTGCTGCTACTTGTCCCTGGGGAACCAAATGATACATGTCTTGAGGAGCCCCTGGGCTCTGCTCCTGCTCTGAGTGAGAGGCATGGGAGAGAAGGGTTTCAGTGATGGAAGCATAGAACTGGGAGACACAGTGAATGAAGCTATAGGGAGTGGGGAAGCATGCCTCCCCACAGCTTCATGTCACCTTCATGCTAAACCCCAGAAAGCTACAGCACCCAAGGGAGAACTGGCAGCTTTTGGGAGAAATGGAACAGGCAGTTTAGCAAGATTTCAGTTAACCTCAAGGAACTGAGGTAAACTGAAATTTTCCATGGCTTTTGCCTACCTCCAGGCAAAAGGTGTAACCCTCTCCAGAGAAGACTGGGGGCCTAAAATTGTACTGGAGGGCCTCAGCTGAGGTCAGCAGGGGTTGGTGGAGGGCTCCCCAAAAGCTCCCCCGCCAAAACACCTTACCCCAGGATGGGAATGTGGGGGCCTGTGGAGGGAGGCCCCAGCCTCCATACTTCCACCTCTCAGGTGTGAAGTTCCCATCACTGCTTGTCCCCTCCTGGCACTAGCAGAGCCCAGCCTGCCCCCAAGCAGTTCCTAGGCAGAAGAGTTTGGGAGGGTAGAAAATTTGCCCATGGAGAAGGAGGTGGGGGGTGGGACTAAGAGTAGTGCACCCTGGACTGCAAGTTTCTCATTTTCTCTCCATGGAGAAGATGGAAATTATCCTAACACACGGGTGGGCAAAATGTGGCCCACGGGCCAGATGCAACCCACCAGGCCACTCTATCCAGTCCACGGGGCCCCTAAAAAAATTTAGAAAATAAATATTTATCTGTCCCCGGCTGCCTGGCATGTGGCCCCCGATGGCTTGCCAAAACTCAGTAAACAGCCCTCCGCCCAAAATAATTCCCCGCCCCTGTCCTAACACAATCTGGATAACACAGCCCAGAGTTAGCCCTCACCTGAAGTGGCATAACTCCTAGTATGAGTTAATGAGCTTTCATGTGTAGATGCTCACATTTTAAGTGCCGTTAGCATAGTTTAAGTGTAACATTTAATTTACCCTTAAGTAAATTACATTTAACTGTAGTTAAGCTTGACTATAACTGATTTATCTGTAGCTCTTGGTTATCCAAACACAAAATGTACTTTATATTTATAAGTTTTACCAGTTATAATTTCACAGTCAGTACTCTTCTTTCATTTATAATGGTGGAAGTTAGGAGTCACTTTTATTTAATGTCAGTGAAGTCAAACTAGAAAAATAATAACTAAACAATAAATAAAAGAAAAAATAAAGAAGTCATTATTTACATTTCTGAACCTGATTTCTCATCTTATTCTTTCATAAAAGCCCAATAAACTGCTTATGCCAAATTCTGTCAAAATGTTGGTGTGTTCAGCTTATTTCATGAGCTTTCTCTTTTGGCCCAGATACAAACATCACACTTTTGCCAGTGTAAGTGATCAGAAACTGGTCTATATCCATAACACAAGAGAAGTTCAGCACCCACAGACTGGCAAAACCTGGTCTAAGATTTGCCTCTTTCCCCCAACTATGTGCCCTGTGACAAAACTTCCTTTGGTTTTAGCATTTCAGGGTCAGATCCCAAGTGAGTAGTCCTACTGAAGAACTTAGATGTTTAAAGTTAAGTACATGCTTAAAGTTTATCTGGATCCAGGATATAATAATCAGCCCCTTATAGGATCTAATTAATATTATTTGCATAACTCCAAGATTGTACTGGAGTTCGTACTGGACTCAGTGTACTGATGTTCTGTCTCTTTGCTTTCCATTGCAGAAAAGGAATATATTTATAGAATGTGAAAGAGATAGCAGATATCTTAAATTATTTTATTCAAGGGAAAATAAAGCAGCTGTTCTTAATTGTGGCTAGTGACTTTTTTTTTTGTCCTATATACATCAGATGACTCACTGTATGCATATGTAAAACTGCGTAAAATTTGCTTTGTCATGCTGTTAAGTTCCTAAATTGTGAGTGGCATTCTTTACAGGATGTGCATTTAATATACTATTATGCGTAACTGTTCAAGTGGGTTTCACACATTCATAAGTAGGTTCCTTTTAAACATTTTGGCATGTTGTTATTTATTCTGGACAATATTTTACTAGTTTTTACCAAGAATGTATTTGTTCACTACTGAAAAGGAACTGAGCATGATATATGTCTCAAAACAATTGCACTCAGCTGTCCAGGAGGAAAAGATGTAGGACATTCCTGTCTATGCCTGGGAAGTTTTCTTCAATGTGTCACGTGTATCATAATGTATCCTGTGCACATATATATATATATATATAAGGCAGACTGTGCCACAAGAACAACTGCCAGGACTTTTCAGTCCCCAAAGCACATAAGAATCCTGACCCACCCTTTCAGCAGGTCCTCCCTTCCCATCGGTTCTGGGCAGCATCTCCCCTCTCCTGCCCTTCCATTCCCCCATCACCCTCTTTACTCATGCCTCTGGGTGCAGGGACATCTGCCTGCCACTCTTCCAGAGGTTTATGTCCCACTCAGACTGGAGCTACAGGAAGTGGCTGCATGAAAAGCCAGATTTGGCCACTGACAACAACCGTGGTGCCCATGGTGAATGGGTTACCCTGTCCTTGCTGGAGAAGCACCCAGAGGGGCTAGGCAGGGAGAAAGAACTAGTCCACTGCCACTGTCCCCAGCCAAATCTGGCTCTCTGTGGAGCTACTCCATGAAGCCCTGTTAGGAATAGAGCAGGAGTGACTCTGGAGCTCCCCTGATTCCTGAAGCAGCAAGGAACAGCAAGGACAACAAAGTGGTGGTAAAAGAGGGAGGAACGGGATGCACTACTGACCATTAAAGGGAATAGACCAGTGTTTATTTCACTTAGCAATGGTAATCTCTCCTTCCTGAGCAGATCTGCATCCACTTCTTTCAGGGTTTCCCCCTGCAAGTGTTCTGGAGTGCACCATTCTCATTTTTTTATATTGGACCTGTCCCAATATTGCTTGATAGTTTGAATCCTGTCAGATTGTGTCTCCTCACTTGTTTCTAGTGCAAGTGTTCTGACTACTGGTGACCACTTTTTCTTCCTCGTCTGGTCATATTTTTTAATAAAACCCATGACTCCCTAGTTCCTGCTATACTTACTGCAGTCGGTGTGTCCTAGACATGCAAGAAGTATGTCTACTTACTGGACCTCTCAGGGGACTTGTATATGGAGATGACTGGTTTCTCTATTCCAGAATGACTTATATGTGAGCTGGGTAGTAAGGCAGTCAGCCCTACTAAAGTGATGGCAGTTCTGGGCATATGCAGTAGAGCTCTAGGCAAATTTTTGCGAAATTTTCTGTCAAAACTTGGATGCCTGTAGACTCTTAAATTTAATTTTGGAGACTTTCAAATCCGAATTACCTAGTGAGACAACTGTTTCTTATATCTGTATTTGATGTAATGTTTTTTATCCTCATTTACATAATTATACAGTAAACTAAATAATCAGATATTCCTAAGTTTTCCTCTGACTGTTAGCTTTTAGAAAGATGAAAGAAAGACAAATGTGAAACAATTTCCTTGCAGAACTGGAATTATGATCTTAACACAATTTGAGTATTGTTTAATTGCCCATATATGAAAATGTGTTTCTTTTCCCCCTGGTTTCATATTATGGAACTTACTATAAACTCAAATAAAAAAGAAGTGTCCTGAAATCATCTGCATGAAATATTTTATAGCCTATTTTTTTCTTGAACATGTAGGTGATTTGAGAGAGATTTCCAAATACTAGCTGTGGATTATTTAATAACTAGTGCTCATAAAACTGAAGTTTGTTTATTCTTTTCTAGATGTGCCATCCAGTCCCTATGGAGTGAAAATTCTAGAGTTGTCACAGACTACTGCCAAGGTGTCTTTCAATAAGCCAGACTCACATGGAGGTGTCCCCATTCATCATTACCAAGTAGATGTAAAAGAAGTGACTTCAGAGACCTGGAAAATAGTGCGCTCCCATGGAGTTCAAAGTGAGTTTGCAATAAGAGAACTAGATATTTTTAATAATGTTTTATTAATAGAATATCAGTATGAGTTAAGTCTTTGTTACTATGACCCATCATTACAACACCAGGGACCATATCTTCAGACAGTCTGTGCTTTTGAGTCCTTATAATCTTGTAAAAGCAAATTGACATGATTCTCTAGTTTTGAATATTAAAATAAGCATTAAATATGCATTTAATTGAGAAATAATAAAAGGACTACAGCATGCCATTTTAAATCTGATGATTAATTATTGAGTTTGAACTACTTGGTAAAATTTTACATTCCCATTAGTCTTCATTACATATGTTTCAAAACATAATTATAGAATATTATATAATAAATGATTGATTAATGCTACAGTAAATATCTTTTTTATGAAAGATACATGGTCAAGATGCTAGGCAGATGGAATCAAATCTTAGTCAACCTTCTGCATTACTTTAAAGTCATAAAATATCTATAAATCTCCATAAGAAGCAGAGGAAACTACTGGCATGGGTGTCAGAGTGCTGTCAGAGTCCACTAGTCCCTAACAGACAGACGTATCATTAGGTGTTGTTAGCAGGTACTATAGGTTAGAGCAGGGGTTTTCAACCGGGGTACATGTACCCCAGGGGGTACTTGGGATGGCCTCAGGGGGTACTTGGCAGCGCGCACTGCCACCACCACTTCCAGTGCCGCCAGCATGCTCACCGATTGGCTGTGGGCTCCCCCCTTCCACCCTCCCCATCCGTCTGGCCACCAGAGGACTCTACCATCTGCTGGGGGTACACTGACACAAAAAGGTTGAAAATTCCTGGGTTAGAGCATCCCTGAGATGATGTGAGGGGGTTGACTAGTTTCCAGCTATCTACAGGTTGCCAGATCACAAATTTGGCCAATACTTAAATGTGGGTGCAGACATATAGTATGTTTGTTTGAGAGTAAATGTACTTTAAAATTATACTTTGTAGTAAATTTACTTTGTAATAAAAGCTGAAAACAGGGTTAGCTCTCTCAAGCTGACTGCCTACAACAGATCCTTTTTCAGTGCCTGCCTGGCCATAAAATGGTGAGAGTGGTTTGCAGAGTAAATGGCTCCCTCAAAATGAAAAAGACTAGGGGAGTAGTAAAGCTATTACACACTTTTCCAGGACTAACTTTACCCTGTATTTGAGTGATTTACTATGAAATAAGGTTGTGTATCATACATGTGCTCCAAATTTACCCTATAGTAAAACTTCCCACACTCTAAGTCTCTCTCTCTCTCTCTCTCTCTCTCTCTCTCATACACACACAGATTGAAGAATTATATTCCATATTATCTCTTTACCTTCAATATTTAGCAGAACTATAATTATGACATAATACGATGGCTCATTTTTTTTATTTTAAAATTATTTGGTAAATCATGCTAATTGTCAGAAATGTCCTAATTAAGATGGCATAACTATCAATTAAAGCTTCTGATTTCCCCAAATTAACACATCATAAAAATTCCACTTTTTGGTGCTGCTTCCTCCCTCTCCAAATTTTTTGAAAACCCTTTGGCCATTTAATGTTTGAAAATGCTGCCAAATCATTAATACACTATGATGCATTACAATACATTCTCACTTTTTGGGGCAAGAAAAATTCAAGTTTTAAAGGTGGTAAGTTTTAAATTAAACTCAAAACTTTGCCAAACTAAGGATCAAAACTTGACCTTTTAACAATTTAAAACAATGTGTAGAGCTGGTTACAGGTTTTCTGACAGAACGTCCCTCAGAAAGCCCAGTGAACTGAAAAAGAATTTGTAGAAGTGTGAAAGGTATGAAAGGGGTAAAATGTGAAACTGTTTTAATTTTTTTATGAAAATAGGGTTGAAATGTTACATTATGCTTTTTTTCAAAGAAAATTATATATTTCTCTGATTATAAATTTGGAAGACTACACTTCATAATTTTGACTACAGGTGGAAATACCATAAAATAGGGGAGGTGGTATGTTTGAAATTGCAAAATAAAAACATTTTGTGAGATTTTCATCATCTTCAGGATTGTTGATCAAGGAGTTTTAGAAAATTATAAATGGCATAGTGTATCAGAACTAAACTATGGCATGAAATGCACATGGATATATGTGTTTCTTTTGTCGCTATGTATGGTAGTGTAAAAACATATTTTAAGTTCCTGTCCTTAAAATGTATATTTACTTCCTAAGCTTTAGCGGAGAAGAAGAAATAACAGGAGGAAGAAGACTTTTGGCAGTTGATAGTATCACTGGTGGAGGGGTGGCACTCTACATGAAAAACTGAATTGAATCAAATACAGTAGATTTTTAAACCAATAAGAAAGGTACCATAGACTCTTTGTGGATAGAAAACCCAGGTTTCAATGGAAAAAGTATGTCTGGGGATATATTATCGACCCCCAGACCAGGATGGAAGCAGCAAGCTTGAAATGCTAAGGGAATTGAGAGAGGCTGTGACAATAGAAAATGCAGTAATAATGGGCAACTTCAACTACTAACAAATAGACGTTGTCAATCTAAGATCGGGCTGGATTACAGAGACCAAATTTCTTAATGTTATAAAAGACTGCTCCATGGAGTAGTTAGTCCTGGAACCTACAAGAGGAAAGGCCATTCTTGATCTAGTCCTAAGTAGTGCACAGGATAAGTGTTATTGAGCCACTCAGCAGTAGTGACCACAATACAATTGGGTTTGACATCCATGTAGGAGGGGAGACAATAAAATCTACCACAATAGCCTTGAACTTAAAAAAGGGAGACTATACCAAAATGAGGAAGCTAGTTAGAAGTTAAAAGGGGGCCCTAAAGAAATGAGGAACTTGCAGGTAGCATGGGAATTGCTTAAGAACACTAGCACTAGATTGGAGGCACAAAGCAAATGCATACTGCAAATAAAAATAAATAAAAGAAAGCAGATTAAAAGAAAGCCGGCATGGCTTAATGGCCAAATTGCAGAGGCAATAAGCAGAAAAAGGCCTTCTTTCAAAAAATGGAAGTCAGATTCTAATGTACGAAATTAAAAAGAGCATAACCACTGGCAAGGCCAATATGAATCTGTAATAAGACAAGATAAGAGAGAATTTGAGGAGAAACTTGCTAAAGACACAAAAGGTAACAATAACAATTTCTTTAAATATATTAGAAGCTAAAGACCTGCCAGGGAGTCATTTGGACTTTTGAGTGATCAGAGTGTAAAAGGGATGCTAAAGGATGACATGGCCATTGCTGAGAAACTAAATGTGTTTTTTGCATCTGTCTTCACTGTGGAAGATGTGAGGGGAAATTTTGTTACCAGACCTACTCCTGAGCCAAACTGAGGTTTCAGTAGATGAGGTTGTAGAGGAAATTAATAAACTAAACAGTAGCAAATCACCAGGACCTGATGGCATTCATCCTAGGGTTCTGAAGGAGTTCAGTTTGGAAATGCAACCTGTCATTTAAAACAGCCTTGGTACCAGAGGACTAGAGGTTTGCCAATGTGACTACCATATTTTAATATGGTGTAGTCTCTAGATGGAACTACAGGCCAGTGAACCTAACTTGTGTTTTTAGAAAGCTGGCAGAAAGAATAATTAAAAAAAAAATTGTTCAGCATATGGATGAATATGACTTGTTGGGGAGGAATTAACATGGCTTTGTCAAAGGGAGACTGTGACTTACCAACCTACTAGAGTTCTTTAAGGGTGTCAGTAAGCTGGTGGAACAGGGAGGTCTCTAGAAAGCCTTTGACAAGGTCCTCAATCAGAGGCTCTTAACTAAACTAGGTGGTCATGTGTTTACATGTAATGTCCACTCATGGATTACAAACTGGCTCTAGGATGAAAAGCAGAATGAGTATAAATGGTCAGCTTTCAAGATGGAAAAAAGTAAACAGCAGGGTTTCTCAGGGATCTGTGTTGGGACCAGTGCTGTTTAACATATTCATAAATGATCTGGAAAAGTGGGTGAGTAGTGAGGTGGCTAAATTTGTGGATGACACAAAAGTATTCAAAGTAGTAAAGATCAAGGCAGACTCTGAGGAATTACAGAAGGATCTGACATGACTGAGTGATTGCGCAACTAAATTAACTAAATGAAATTCAGTGTAGATAAGTGTAAGTGGTACACCTGGGCAAAAATAACCTGAATTATACACACAAGGATAGGCTTTACATTATCTGTTACCACACAAGAAGCATATCTGGGAGTCAAAGATGTTCACTAAAAACATTAGCTCAGTGCTCAGCAGCTGTCAAAAAGGCAACTCAAATTTTAGGGATTATCAAGAAAGGAGTTGTAAACAAAACTGAAAGTATCATTATAAATCCTTGGCGAGTCCACACCTTGAACACTGTTCCCAATTCTGGTCCCCACAGCTTAAAAAGGTTATTAAAAAACTAGATTAGTGGTATGAGGAGAGACTAAAGAGACTAGGTCTATTCAGTTTAGAAGCAAAGCTTGAGGTGGGGGTGTGACAAGGTTTCATGAAATACTACATGGTGTAGAGAAAGTAAATAGGGATTTATTATTTACTGTCTCTCACAGTAGAAGAACTAGGAGTCACAAAAGGAAGCTAGTAGTTAGTAAGTTTCAAACTAACAAAAGGAAGTCCTTTTATAAACAGTGGGCACATCTACACATGATGCTTTAATGCACATTAGCCTAAGTTAATGGACGTGTCTACACATGAGCGCCCTTAATGTGAATTAAAAATGGCAAATTTTGGCTATTTCTGCCTAAATTTGTTACCAGAGTGGAATAAGATAGTTCACCTTTAATCTGATAAGTCTTACCAATATCAAAAGTTTTGCCAAACATCAAATCATTTTTTTTTTCACAATGGGATCAACTTTTGGACCAGCTACACAGCCATGACTGTATACTACTATACTGTGTACAAACTGCTGCCTGAGACAAATCTGTAGAAGTTCTTTTCAGATACTGTGACAGAAAAGTAACTATCCTTGTCTCTCACAAAAATAAAGCATAAGAAGTTTTAAAGTCTGCTATA